GTGTCTGCCTCCAGCTCAAGTCATGATCTCAGGGTCCTGGGATTGAGCCCCATGTTGGGCTCTCTGCTCAGGGAGTCTGCTTCTCCCTCTCCCTCTGTGCTCTCTCTCAAGTAAATAAATAAAATCTTTAAAACAAAGAAAAGAAAAGCATTTTTGTTTGGTTTCTGCTGAGATTCAGATCCTGGCTCTGTCACTTTTACTGACCAGACCATAGACTTCTCTGTTTCAGATCCATCATCTGTAAAGTGAGAATAGTAATGACCATCTCAATGTGGGGTTGTAATAATTAAATGTATAACATAAAGCACTTAGAACAGTGCTTGGTACATAGTAAATCACTGTTCTTAAAGATGTTACTGAATTTTCCTCATTAGCGACTAGACAGGGTAACAAAAGATAAACACGAGCTTAGCTCTCTCAGATGGGCCACAAGCCAGTAGCACTTAACGCAGTTTGGTTAGGGCTGTACATTGAAATGATCCACTTAAATATGACTATTAGATTATTTGCAGATAAAATAGCTTTACTTACAAAATAAAAAAAATGAGCATTAACTATTAAAAAGCATCCCAGTGCCCCCCAAATCCAACACATTAACCCATTTTGCAGTGAAATGTATAAATGTTCATACTAAGTAGATAAATACATACTATAAAAAAACCCAGTGTTGGTTCAGATTCGCTTTTGCCACCGACTTTGCTGTATACTTTTTTTTTTTTTTTAAAGATTTTATTTATTTTTCAACAGAGAGAGACAGTGAGAGAAGGAACACAAGCAGGGGGAGGGGGAGAGGGAGAAGCAGGCTTCCCGCGGAGCAGGCAGCCCGATGCAGGGCTCGATCCCAGGACCCTGGGATCATGACCTGAGCCGAAGGCAGACGCTTAACGACTGAGCCACCCAAGCACCCCCGACTTTGCTGTATACTTAAGAAAAAACATTTGGGGGCGCCTGGGTGCCTCAGTCAGTTAAGCGTCTGACTCTTGATTTCCACTCAGGTCATGATCTCGGGGTCCTGGGATTGAGCCCCTTGTAGGCGCCACGCTCAGCAGGGAGTCGGCTTCAGGATTCTCTCTCTCCCTCCCTCTGCCCCTCCCCCACTCTTTCTCTCTCTCAAATCTTTTTTTTAAAAAAAAAAATTTGGATTTTCAGAACTTTTTGTATTTTGGAATTATGGGTAACAATTGGGGGCCTTTTATCCTAAGGCTGTAGAGAGGATTAATTATGTAAACAGCTGACATGTAATAGGAACTCAGTTATTATTGTTACTCATTGCCTCAGCATTATTGCTAGTATAACGTGGTAGTGGTAGGAGAAGTAGGATAGTGGTGATTGCAACACTGTATAAGTTAAAGGCCTGTTAGAAATGTTCCTCAGTTTCCCTGATCATCCAGGCTTGGTTTAAACCATGGGGTGGTTTTTAGAGAGGGTTTAGGTAGGAAAAAGGACTGGGAGGCTCATCCTTTGAGGTCTGTCCTGTGTTCACTGAGGGATGAAATGGAGAGGCTGATGGTACGTGTAGCTGGCAGTGGTGGATGGAGCCCCAGGTCACACTGGCTCTCAAAATATTGAGCACTGCCTTTTTCCTCCTTCCCTTCCCTCTTCCCTCCTCTGCCCTTTCCTTTCCCCTTTTCCTCCTCCTCCTTTTTTTGGTACTGGATCTTACGGATGCCATCTCATGAGAAACAGGAAATCACTCCAGCTTTGGGCTAGAGGTTGGGGTTCAGAGGTGGGTGGTGGAAGCCAACAAAGAGGTTTTGATTCTGTGAGATGTTCACAGCACATTCTCACCTGCACTGTGGCCTGTGAGGCTCAGACTGCTTCTGCATGTTCATGCTAACATGGCGGTCGGTCATTCCCTTGTTGAGCAGCACCTCCTGTTGTGCTCACCTCTCCTATGTTCAGGTGAAGAACGGCTGGTTGGGTTGGGGTAGGTTCTTAAGGAAGCCAGGAGACCTGGGATTGTTCTAGCAGTGCTCCTGTCTTAATTGGAGAGTGAGACATTCTACAGAGTCTTTCCCCTGATGCTTAGTTCCTTGGAAATACCATAGACTTTGGGGTATTGTGAATCCTGGCTCCCCATGTGTAGGTGTGGGCAAATCACTTAGCCTCTCTGAGTCTCACTTTCATAAGCTAGAAAAATAAAGATAATATCTTCCTTAGAATTGTGAGAGTTAAACATCAAAAACCATGCAAACACCTAGAACATTCTTCAGTGCATCGCATGTGCCCCATAAAAGATAGCGACATTATCTGTGTCTCATGGTAGCTTTTATCTAGTAAGAACATGCTAATAGGATTATCACTTGAAGATCTCTACAGTTAAAAGAGGATGATGAGTTGTAATGAGTGTATTGCCCTGGTGGGGCATGTTGGTAATGGGGGAGACTGTGCATGTGTGTGCATAGAGGGTACGTGGAAATCTCTACACTTTCTGCATAATCTACTGTGAGCTTAAAACTGCTCTAAAAAATAAAGTGTATCAAAAATAATTTAAAAAATTATGGTATGGTAGCATGGTACAGTAAAATAAATAGTTCTAAAGTAATTTAGAACATGATGGGGGTGTGCAAGGAGCTGGAGATTTAGTAACAGAATACTTGGCTTCCAGCCTGGGTTTTACTGGCTGTAGGATCTTGAACAAGTCACTTAACTGGATTTTAGTTTTCTTTTCTTTTTTTTTTTTTTTTAAAGATTTTATTTATTTATTTGAGAGAGAGAGAATGAGAGACAGAAAGCAGGAGAGGGAGGAGGGTCAGAGGGAGAAGCAGACTCCCTGCTGAGCAGGGAGCCCGATGCGGGACTCGATCCCGGGACTCCAGAATCATGACCTGAGCCGAAGGCAGTCGCTCAACCAACTGAGCCACCCAGGCGCCCAGTTTTATTTTCAATAAAATGAGGATCATGATGTGGACTTTGCCTATCTCCTAGGTCTGATGTGAAGATCAAATGAGAGAATATACATGGAAGCATTTTTGAAACACTAATATGTCATATAATGGATATGGTTTTGTAAACTTACTCTTTTCTTTGCCATTTTGGCAAAGGGACCCCTGGTTCGGATCCAGGGTAGAAGAGTTAATCCTAGTGTAATCGTCTAAATTTGAAAGGAAACTTCTCATTTCCTGCCAAGCCAACATTTCAGTTAGAGACAGGGGAATACCATCACTGAAAGCAGTGGGGAGAATATACATAGGGATGAGCCCTGAAAATGAAGTAAAATGAATAAAACATACAGAAATTCTCCGTTTTGGCCTTTCTCATTTGATACCTAGCTCATTCTTCGCAATGTATACTTCCCTCCTCCTTGTTGGGGGTTTCCATTTATATGAACTTACTGATTTCCCTTCATATAAATAAAATTAAGAGTGTAATTTTTTGGAAAATAGAGAATGAGTGCTTGCGGCTCTGTGCATTTGTGAGAACTTGGCTGTCGGAACCCCAGATCCTAATTGTTCCCCTGTTTCTGTGTTGTCAAGTTGTTTCACTTTAATGCTTCCTGCTATCTCAGGTGCTCTCCTTTGCTATCATAGGCCCTTGAAAATTAGCCTATAGTTTCAGTGACACTGGCTTCATTACTAGAAGGACCTGGGAGAAGCAGCCTGGCACTCGGGCAGGGGCATGGGCTTGGAGACCTCAGACCTGCCTTCGGGTCCCAGCTCTGCCACCTGAGAGCTTGGTGACATGAAAAGTCAAGTCACTTCTCTGAACCTCAGCTTCCTCTCTAACTTTTAGGATGGTTTAGAATGGCTATTCATAACTTAGGACCATGCTCAGTACAGGGTATTTATTTTTTATTATTAGGAAGAAAGGCTTTGGAATTTGAATCTAGTTCCACAGCCTTTGACTGTAGCCAGCAGGCAGATCGCTTACCTTTCCTGAGCTCCAGTGTTCTGCGATGTGATGTGGGGATCACAGGGCTACTGCTCTCTGAGGATTATTCTGAAAATTAAAGGTCATACAAGTGAAATTCTGGAAAGTAGTGGGAACTGGCTCTTTCTAATGCTACTTGTTTCATGGCTGAGTTTGCAGCCATTGTGGATCTGGGTTTAAGCCCTGATTGGACCACTTAGCCTTTTTGAACTCTAATGTTCCCTCAGTAAAATAGAGGATAACCTCTTTCTTGCAGTTAGACGATTTATTTTTGGCACTTATGTAAAACTGCTCAGTAGATGCTAGGATGATTATTGTAATTTGTAGTATTAGTAAGTCATTTGTGTGTTTCATTGGATAAGTGTGATTGTTCATTTCCTGGAAAATAGCCAGTAACTAATAGGAATGTTTAAACTTTAATTATTTTCTTCCCAGACCTGTAAACATTGGCAACATTGGGGGAAAAAAAATGAGTTGTTTTTTTTTTTTAAAGATTTTATTTATTTGACACAGAGAGACACAGTGAGAGAAGGAACACAAGTAGGGGCAGTGGGAGAGGGAGAAGCAGGCCCCCCCCCATGGAGGAGGAAGCCCGATGTGGGGCTCGATCCCAGAACCCTAGGATCATGACCTGAGCCGAAGGCAGACGCTTAACCGACTAAGCCACCCAGGCACCCCCAAAAATGAGTTTTTGATATTTAGCTCTAGCAAGAAATGAGGCTGGGCAGATGTCACCTGATCTGAAGGCACAGTAGGGGAAACATTTCAAAGACTTTCGTGCTCAGATGTGACAGTGGGTGCAGTCCTCGCCTTCCCATTTGGGAAAGGTCCAATAACCTGACTCTTTTGCAGTACGGAAACTGCGTTTATACCTGAAATAGGAGCTTGAAAACAGTGGCTCTTACTTTTTCCCCTTTTAGAATATGGTTTAGAACCTGCTGGCCAGAGCTAAGAGGTTATTTGTATGTGGAGCCAGGAAACAAGGCACTGGAGACAGTTGGTCCAGGTAACTCAATCCAGACATTTTTCTAAAGTCTGAACCACTGAGATTGAATTTAATCATCTAATTTAAACAGTTTTCCAAACTGTTTCTCCCCCATGTAGATCCGATCAAACATATAATTGTCAGTAGTACAGAATGTCTTCTGGCTGTCAGCTTTGTAGGCCAGCTTGCCCATAGAAGTGGACAAGGGCAAGGAATGATCCTTACCTATATTCACAAGAGAGGCTCTTTCTAAAGATTTATTTATTTATTTGAGAGAGAGAGTAGGGGGAGGGGCAGAGGGAGAGAATCTTTCAGATTCCCCGCTGAGCACAGAGACCGATGTGGGGCTCAATCTTATGACCTTGAGATCATGGCCTGAGCCGAAATCAGGAGCTGGACGCTTAACTGCCTGAGCCACCCAGGCTCCCCAGGAGAGGATCTTTTTGATACTAGAGTAGAAAGATAATTCCTTTATCCCCAGTTAAGTATTTTTTTAATCAGTGGAATGATTATAAAACAACAATTACAAAGTGACTCTGGAATCAAGACACACAGTTGAAAAACCTCAGTTTCAGGTCCCGTGTTACAACCTGAATACTTTGAAAATTTGTGTTTTTTTTTTTTTTTTTAAAGATTTTATTTATTTATTTGACAGACACAGTGAGAGAGGGAACACAAGCAGGGGGAGTGGGAGAGGGAGAAGCAGGCTTCTGGCTGAGCAGGGAGCCCGATTCGGGGCTCGATCCCAGGACCCTGGGATCATGAGCTGAGCCAAAGACGCTTAACGGCCGAGCCACCCAGGTGCCCCGAAAATATGTGTATTTAGCTGGCTTTCAGCTCAATCTGTTGGATCCAAATATTGGGTGTATTAGTTTCTTAGGGCTGCCATAAGAATGTACCACAAACTGGGTGGCTTAAAACAACAGAAATTGATTGCCTCCTGGTTCTGGAGGCCAGAAGTCTGGTCTGTCCAAGTCTCAGCAGGCCCCGGTGTTCTCTGAAGGTGCCAGGGAAGGATCTGTTCCACGTGTGTCGTCTTGTAGCCTCAGGCGTTCCTGGGCTCCCAGATGCATCAGTCTAATCCTCTGTCTTCATGTGGCGTTTTCCCCGTGTGTCTTCACATCTGTTTCCCTCTGTGTGTGTCTGTTTCTGTGTCCAAATGTCCCTTTTTAAATAAGAATAGCAGTCACATTAGATTGGGCCCTCTCTGATGACTCATTTTAACTTGATTACCTCTGGAAAGACCCTCTTTCCAAAAAAGGTTATATTCTGAGGTATTGAGCTTTAAGACTTTAGTGTCTCTTTCTTGGGGGACACAATTGAACCCATAACAACGGGTTTAGGTTTCTTACTAAGGAAGACTCATGAACTCTTCAGTCAATTGACCCTTGGACAATGAGGGGGTTAGGGGCAGCAACCCCCACACAAAGTCCCTGTACAACTTTTGACTCCCCCAAAAGTTTACTAATAGCCCAGTTTTGACTGGAAATCTTACCTATGACATAATCAATTAACACATATTTTGTATATGCATTATACGCTGTATTCTTACAATAAAGTAAGCTAGAGAAAATAAAATGTTAAGAAAATCATAAGGAAGAGAAATTACATTTACAGGACTGTATTTACTGAATAAATCCACATATAAGAGAAACCACATAGTTCAAACCCATGTTGTTCAAGGGTCAGTTGTATTTACTCTGACAAGGAACTCTGATAATCTTTCTCTTCGTCATACTCTTAGAGACACATGTCTTTTTTTTTTTTTTAATATTCACAGCAACCCTTTAAAAAAAAAAATTTAGGGGCACCTGGGTGGTTCAGTGGTTAAGCGTCTGCCTTTGGCTCAGGTCATGATCCCAGGGTCCTGGGATCGAGCCCTGCATCAGGATCCCTGCTCAGCGGGAGGCCTGCCTCTCCCTCTCCCATTCCCCCTGCTTGTGTTCCCTCTCTCACTGTGTCTCTCTGTCAAATAAATAAATAAAATCTTTAAAAAAATTTAATTCCAGGATAGTTAACATACAATGTTATATTTCAGGTGTACAATGTAGTGATTCAATAATTGTTCATTACTCAGCACTCATCATACGGGTACTCTTAATCCCCTTCACCTACTTCACCCATCCTCATGCCTACCTCCCCTCTGGTAACTATCTGTTTGTTTTCTATAGGTAAGATTCTGTTTTTTGGTTTGTCTCTTTTTTTCTTCTGTTTGTTTTGCTTCTTAAATTCCACATATGAGTGAGATCATATGGTATTTGTCTTTCTCTGACTGACTTATTTCACTTAGCATTATACCCTCTAGATGCATCCATGTTGTTGCAGATGGTAAGATTTCATTCTTTTTTATGGCTGAGTAATATTCCTGTGTGTGTGTGTGTGTGTGTAACTGCTTTTTCCATTCATCTATTTTTTTTTCCATTCATCTATTGATGGACAGTTGGGCCGCTTCCATAATTAGGCTATTATAAATAATGCCTCAATAAACATAGAGATGCATGTATCTTTTCAAATTAGTATTTTCATATTCATTGGGCAAATACCCAGTAATGGAATTACTGAATCATGTGGTAGTTCTATTTGTAATTTTTTGAGGAACCTCCATACTGTTTTCCACAGTGGCCGCAGCAGTTTGCATCCCTATCAACAGAGCAAGAGAGTTCCTTTTTCTCCATATCCTTGCCAACAATTGTTTTTTGTATTTTTAATTTTAGTCATTCTGACAGATGTGAGTGATATTTCATTGTAGTTTTGATTTGCATTTCCCTGATGATGAGTGATATTGAGCATCCTTTCATGTATCTGTTGCTTATATATAGGTCTTCTTTGGAGAAATGTCTGTTCATGTCTTCTGCCTATTTTTAATCAGGTTATTTTTTTGGTGTTGAGTTGTGTAAGTTCTCTATACATTTTGGATACTAACCCTTTATTGGATATATCATTTGCAAATATCTTCTCCCATTCAGTAGGTTGTCTTTTAGTTTTGTTGGTTGTTTCCTTTGCTGTGCAGAAGCTTTTTATTTTGACGTAGACCCAATAGTTTATTTTTGCTTTTGTTTCCCTTGCCTCAGGAGACATAGCTAGAAAAATGTTGCTATGGCCAATGTAAGAGAAATTACTGCCTGTGCTCTCTTCTAGGATTTTTAAGGTTTCAGGTCTCATTGCGAACTTTAATCCATTTTGAGTTTATTTTTGTGTATGGTGTAAGAAAGTGGTCCAGTTTCATTCTTTTGCATGTGGCTCTCCAGTTTTCCCAACACCATTTGTTGAAGAGACTGACTTTTTCCCATTGTGTATTCTTGTCTCCTTTGTTGTAGATTAATTGACCATAGAAGCATGCGTTTACTTCTGGGCTCTCTGTTCTTTTCCATTGATCTCTGTGTCTGTTTTTGTGCCAGGACCATACTGTCTTGATTACTATAGCTTGGTAGTACGACTTGAAATCTGGAATTGTGATACCTCCAGTTTTGTTCTTGCTCAAGATTGCTTTGGCTATTCGGGGTCTTTTGTGGTTCCTTACAAATCTTAGGGTTGTTTGTTCTAGTTCTATGAAAAATGCTGTTGGTATGTTGATAGGGATTACATTAAGTCTGTAGATTGGTTTGGGTAGTATGGGACATTTTAACATTATTTTTTCAATCTGTGAACATGGAAAGTCTCCATTTGTGTCATCTTCAATTTCTTTCATCAGTGTTTTATAGTTTTCAGAGTACAGGACTTTCACCTCTTTGGTTACCTTTATTCCTAGGTATTATTTTTGCTACAATTGTAAATGGGACTGTTTTCTTAATTTGTCTTTCTGCTGCTTCATTATTAGTGTATAGAAATGCAATGGATTTCTGTATATTGATTTTGTATCCTGTGAACTTTCTGAATTCATTTATCAGTTCTAGTAGTTTCTTGGAGTCTTTAGGGATTTCTATATATAATACCATGTCATCTGCAAGTAATGAAAATTTTACTTCTTCCTTACCAGTTGGGATACGTTTTTTCTTTCTTTCTTTCTTCCTTCCTTTCTTTCTTTCTTTCTTTCTTTCTTTCTTTCTTTCTTTCTTTCTCTCTCTCTCTCTCTCTCTCTCTCTCTCTCTCTTTCTGTCTCTGTCTCTCTCTCTCTGTCTAAATGCTGTGGCTGGACTTCCAGTACTATATTGGATAAAGTGATGAGAGAGGACATCCTTGTTTTGTCCCTGATGTTAGGGGAAAAGCTTTCGGTTTTTCCACCATTGAGTATGATGTTAGCTGTGGGTTTTTCATATATGGTCTTTTTTTTTTTTTTTTTAAAGATTTTAAAGAAATTTATTTGAGAGAGAGAGCGCACATGAGTGGGCAGAGGGAGAGGGAGAAGCAGGCTCCCTGCTGAGCAGGGAGCTCGATGTGGGGCTCGATCCCAGGATCCTGGGACCATGACCTGAGCTGAAGGCAGATGGTTAACGACTGAGCCACCCAGGTGCCCCTCACATATGGTCTTTATTAAGTTGGTGTATATTCCCTCTAAACTTCCTTTGTTGAGGTTTTTTTTTTTTTTTTTTTTTTATCATGAATGGATGTTGTACTTTGTCAAATGCTGTTTTGGCATCTGTTGAAATGGTCATATAGTTTTTATCCTTTCTCTTGATGTGATGTATCATGTTGATCGATTTGGGAATACTGAACCACCCTTGGAGATGCCTGTCTTACAGGCACGAAACATTTGCAAACTCCAATGGCTATAGTTCCTTCAGGTCTGAGGATGTCCTTGATGTTTGTACTTACTTTGTTTTATAATCTGTAGAGAGGAATAACTGAATATTTATCCTGTATCCATTATTTAAATGATAATGTGTTTAAAGGCATCAAATCGGTAGTTAAAAAACAAAGTTTATTGTAAGATAAAGAACTGAGAGTTTAGTTGTAGGTATGCATGACTTAAGACTTTCAGAGTTGGCAAACAAAAATGCTAATGCAAATTTTTTTGTTGTTGTTGACTAAGTGCATAAAAATCCAGAGTCAGTAGAGCAGAGCTAATGTAGAAAAGATTTCAGAGGCTTTAAATTGGACCTTAAAAGGTGGGAAAGAAATATTTCCACTGCTAAAGAATTTGCAGAAAGTTAGTTTAAAAAGGGAAACATGACACAAATAAAACTTCAAAGAGTAGAATGGGCAAATTGGCAGGGTGGTGGGTTTTAGTCAACAGATACTTACTGAGTACTGACTGTGTGCTTACATTCTAGGCACTTGGAATATCTCAGTGAATAAAAACATAAAAATCACTGCCCTGTGGAGCTTACATTCTAGGGGTGTTTGTGTATATGTATGGTGGGAGGAAACAGACAATAAATGAATAAGTAAATATTAGAAACTGGTTAGTATTTTAGAGAAAGGAGAAAGTAGGTGGTAGGGGAAAGAGGATTGGAGTACAAGGGAGAGGTGGCTGCAATTTTAACCAAGTGTTCAGGGCTGGCCTCAGTAAGAAGGGAACACTTGAAGCAAGGGAGCTCCATGGCTGTTGGAAGTGCATTCTTCAAAGCGAGAAGCTGGGCAAAGGAGCCCCCTGGGGCAACCCAGGTAAGAAACGACAGAGCCTGAATCAGGGTAGTAGCTTTGAAAAGGGATGACGTAATGGACTGTATTCTGATTATACTGTTTTCTTGATGGCTTTTCTTGTAGACAGTAGGATTTTCTGATGGATTTAATGTAGAGAGTGAGAGTCAAGTGAGACACTAGGACTTGTCTTGAGCAACTGGAAGAATGGAGTTATCAGCTGAAAATAGGAAGCCTGTAGGGGCTGTATGCTTGTGGGGTGGGGTAGGGAGAATTTGGGTGTTCGATTTAGGATATGTAAGTTTGAGATGTCTGTTAGACATCCAAATGGAGAGATTAAATAGGGAGTTGTGCATATAAGTCTAGAGCTCAGCGGAGGGTTTGAGCTGAAGATAGAGATTTGAGTCACTGGCATATAGAGACTGGATGAACTCTCCAAGGGTGGGAGTATTGATAGAAAAGAAAACCAAAGACTAAGCCGTGGGACCTTTCAATATTAAGAGGAGAAACCAGAGAAAGGGACTGGGAGGGAGGAAGCACTGAGGTACAAGGAATAGCAATAGGATTTGTTTGGCTGTAGCGGAGGGTTACCTTCTTTTGAGACAGGGACAAAGGATACATTGGTAAAAGGTCTTGAAGACCAAG